CTCCACCTGCGACTGTTCATCCACGGGCTCCTGTTCATCCAGCCTCCACCGCACACTACTCCACCGACTAATGTTCAACCAGCCCTCTCCATGGGCTCCTGTTCAACCACACCTCCATGGGCTACTGTTCATCAAACCCTCCACCATCTACTGTTCATCCAGCCCTCCACGGGGTGGTCCTGTTCATCCAACCCTCCACGGGGTCCTGTTCATCCAGCCCCAACCGGCTCGATCGATCGGGGTCTTGTTCATCCAGAGGCAACACCATGGGGTCCTGTTCATCCACCCCCACCGGGAACTGTTCATCCACAGCCCCCAGCAACGCTCACTGTTCATCCAGAGCCAACATCGATCGGCTTCAGTTAGCAGCAGTAGCGAAGGAACCGCTCGATCGGGTTTAGTTAACAGCCATCGATCGATCGCTCGGGTTCAGTAACGTGTAGCCTGCAGTGCAACCGCTCGGGTTCAGTAGGCGAACGCCTCGCTCGGGTTCAGTTAGAGCCCAACGCCTCGCTCCCATGCGCGTGCGTGTACGAGAGAAACGCGCATCGCTCGGCCCCGACCACCCACTGTAACCGGGAACACCCTGATATTTTCCTCGCCCTCACTACTACCATGATTTTTTTCCTTCATGGATGGCCCAAAGAATGTCATGCAGCTGCTTCTCCGGCCCGCCCAGGACGAAAAGCCCATTTTCAACCATGATTTTTTGTCATAGAAGTAGGATCCCACCACATCTATGATGATACCGGGTTTGGTCACAATTATCGTCATAGAAGTGTCATAAGTATGATAGAATTTTTTTTCGTTCGGCCCAAAATGTCACGGATGTGTCTTTTTTTGTAGTGGAAAGGGCAATGCACGGTACCGAAGAGGCTAGCAATGATGGAAGGGTGAGAGTGTGTATAATCCCTGGACTCAACATTAGTCATAAAGAACTCACATACTTATTGCAAAAATCTATTAGTCATCGAAACAAAGTACTATGCACATGCTCCTAGGGGGGATAGATTGGTAGGAAAAGACCATCGCTCGTCCCCGACCGCCACTCATAAGGAAGCCAATCAACAAATACCTCATGCTCCAACTTCGTTACATAACGGTTCACCATATGTGCATGCTACAGGAATCACAAACTTCAACACAAGTATTTCTACAATCCACAACTACCCACTATCATGACTCTAATATCACCATCTTTATATCACAAAACTATTGCAAGGAATCAAACATATCATATTCAGTGATCTACAAGTTTTATGTAGGATTTTATGACTGGCCATGTGAATGACCAATTCCTGTACACTCTTTAAATAGATATAAGTGAAGCAAGAGAGTTTAATTCTTTGTACAAAAGATATGCCCACACTCTAACAAATATAAGTAAAGCAAAATAGCATTCTACAAATGGCGGTTTTCTATGTGAAGAGAAACAGGCAATCCAAACTTCAAATGATATAAGTGAAGCACATGAAGCATTCTATAAAGCCATACTCAAAAGATTTAAGTGAAGTGCAATGAGCATTCTATAAATCAACCATGGACTATCTCATAGCAGCATGGTGCATCAAAGAAAAGTGAAAACTAAATGCAAAAGACGCTCCAAAATTTGCACATATCGCATGAACGAAACGAATCCGAAAACATACCGATACTTGTTGAAGAAAGATGGGATGCCTTCCGGGGCATCCCCAAGCTTAGATGCTTGAGTCTCCTTGAATATTTACTTGGGGTGCCTTGGGAATCCCCAATCTTGAGCTCTTGTCTCTCCTCCTTCTCCTCACATCGAGACATCTGCGATCTTCGAACACTTCATCCACACAAAACTCAACAGAAAGTTCGGAAAGATCCGTTAGTATAATAAAGCAAATCACTACTCTAAGTACTATTGCAAACAATTCATATTTTGTTTTTTATTGTAGCTACTGTAATATAAATTTTCCATGGCTTAATCCACTCATAGAAATCGATAGTTTCATCAAAACAAGCAAACTATGCATCAAAAACAGAATCTGTCTTAAATAGGACAGTCTGTAGTAATCTGAACATTCACCATACCTCTGGTACTCCAAAAATTATAAAACAAATTAGGAAAAATAAAAAAAATTGTATAGCAAGACAGTGCAAAAAGTTTCAGAACCGTTTGACATTACAGTAAAAAATGTAAAATCGCCCACTACAGCCAAAGTTTCTCTCTTGCACCGCACAAACCAACAAGCAATGTAAACATTCTAAAGGCAAACCTTGGCGCATTATTATTGTTTTTAAACTTTATAAAAGCACACAACAGAAATAAATGACTCTCCAAAACTTCCGGGTTGTCTCCCTGGCAACGCTTTCTTTAAAGCCATTAAGCTAGGCATATAGTGCTCAAGTAATGGATCCACCCGGATCCCAAGGTATATCAAAGCCAATTTTAATTAAAAATGATTTGTGATTTAGTAGTGAGCACAAAGTACCATATATCATGCAACAACAAAGTCTAACTCTCTTCCTATGCATCGGCATGTCATAAAAGAACAATTCGTGCACACATAGTAAAGGCCAATGCATAGTATAAACAATTTCTTGCAATTTTATCATATTGGAAACATGGAGAGGCGGAGATGTAGTTCCTCTCTCATAATAATTGCAAGTAGGAGCAGCAAGCATATGCATATTATATTCATCAAAATTATCATGTGCAACGGTAAAATGCAACCCATCAATATAATCCTTAATAAGGGCAGACTTCTTCGATATAGTGTAGTCGGGAGAATTCAAAAATATAATAGGACTATCATGCGTGGGTGCAATAGAAACAATTTCATGTTTAACATAAGGAACTATAGCAAGTTCATCTCCATAAGCATAATTCATATTGGCATCTAGGCCACAAGCATAGCAAGCATCATCAAAAGGGGATATTTCAAAAGAATCAACGGGATCATAACAATCATCATAGCATTCATCCTTCAGGAAATTCGAAGGGAAATTAAACAATGTATGAGTTGAAGAGTTACTCTCATTAGAAGGTGGGCACGGGTAGCTAATCCGCTCTTCCTCCTTTTGTTCTTCACTCTCCTCATCATCTTTTTCATCCAATGAGCCCATAGTTCCATCAATTTCTTCCTCCATAGACTCCTGCGAAATATTAGTCTCTTCTCGGACAACGAAGACTTTCTCAATAAATTCATCAATATCATAATTGTATTTATAATTCTCATAGCAATATTTAAGGATAGCTAAATTTTCAAGTCTATAAACTGAATCATCAAAATCTTCAAACTCTTTAAACAAAGATTCAATTTCACAAGCACCCTTAAAAGCAACACATTCTTCTATTCATTCCACATCACAGTAATCATATATACCATTAGCATAAGAAACTAAGTTTTCATTATCATTAAATTCACATGAAAAGGGAAGGTGTGGAGCCTTCATCCTAGAGCAACAAGTATAATCATATCTCAAGCATAGTTGCCGAGCATACTAATGGAACATATAAATTTGATCCCATAATAGTTTCCCTTTTTGAGTCAAGCGATAATCCCTAAAGTATTCACGTTGATCCAACGTGTCTCCCATTACATAATTGAATGGGGTTTTCTCGGGATTATTAAAGTAGTGCATAATATCTTTCACATAATGAGCATCGAGGGTTTTAGGAGGTTCCCCATCTCCATGAGTAGCAAGTAAACCTAAATTTTTTTGGTATTTCGTGTTCCATATCCATAACTAAAGATAGAGAACAACTTAGAACAGCAAATAAAATCTACTTAGTGATAAAGCAAACAAGCACACACGAGAATAATCACCCCACGCTATAACTCCCCGGCAACGGCGCCAGAAAAAGGTCTTGATAACCCACAAGTAGAGGGGATCGATTGTAGCCTCTTTAGATAAGTAAGAGTGTCGAACCCAATGAGGAGCTAAAGGTAGAACAAATATTCCCTCAAGTTCTATCGACCACCGATACAACTCTACGCACGCTTGACGTTCTCTTTACCTAGAACATGTATAAAACTAGAAGTACTTTGTAGGTGTGAGGAGATAGGTTTGAGAGAATATAAAGAGCACGTAAATAAAAACTAGGGGCTGTTTTAGGTAAAGAAGCAATAAAGTTAGTATAGCGAGTGTGGAAAAGTGGTGGTAGGAGTTGCGAAATTGTCCCTAAGCAATTGACTACGTTACTAGACCGATAGAAAGTTTTATGTGGGAGAGGCCACTGCTAGCATGTCATCCCTGACTTGGAATTCTATGCACTTATGATTGGAACCCCTGTTCAAGAATTCATCCGATTAACCAGTTAACTTGCTGATTAATCCCTACTCATAGGGTCACCGAGTAGCCGATAAACCGAAAAATCATCCGATTAATTGATTAAATGCCCGATTAACTTGCCGATTAGCCGATTAATCCCCTACTCGCTAACCAACCGAGCAGCTACCAGTTAACGATCTCCTCAACAATGATTGGAACTATTAGCAAGCATCCGCAACTACTAACGTTTATTAAGGTAAAACCCAACCATAGCATTAGGATTTATTGGTCCCCCTTCAATCCCGTTGTCGGTGTCAAAACCGGCGGATCTCGGGTAGGGGGTCCCGAACTGTGCGTCTAAGACGGATGGTAACAGGAGGCAGGGGACACAATGTTTACCCAGGTTCGGGCCCTCTCGATGGAGGTAATACCCTACGTCCTACTTGATCGATCTTGATGATACGAGTATTACAAGAGTTGATCTACCACGAGATCGTAGAGGCTAAACCCTAGAAGCTAGCCTATGATTCTGATTGTTGTTGTCCTACGGACTAAACCCTCCGGTTTATATAGACACCGGAGGGGGCTAGGGTTACACCGAGTCGGTTACAAGGGTGGAGATCTACATATCCGAACTGCCAAGCTTGCCTTCCACGCAAAGGAGAGTCCCACCTGGACACGGGACGAAGTCTTCAATCTTGTATCTTCATAGTCCAACAGTCCGGCCAAAGCATATAGTCCGGCTTTCCGAGGACCCCCTAATCCAGGACTCCCTCAGTAGCACCTGAACCAGGCTTCAATGACGATGAGTCCGGCGCGCAGATTGTCTTCGACATTGCAAGGCGGGTTCCTTCTCTGAATACTTCATAGAAGATTTTGAACACAATGATCGTGTCCAGCTCTGCAAAAGAAATTCCACATACCACCGTAGAGAGTGTATTATTCCACAAATCTAATCTGCTGACAACTTTTCACAACGTGACATCACGACCTGGCCCGATCATTACGAACCGTTTTTCCCTGCTTGCCATTGCATGTGTTGCGAGGCGGTTTTCTTGGCACTTCTTGTCGAAGCAGAGATCGTGTCCCCCTATCACGAGATTCTCATCAATACGGGTGTGGGTAACCCAACCGTTCTTGTTAATATGACTCCTTGATTTTAGGCAAGTTCCAAACGGGCACGCGGAGGACGCTTGATATTCGCCCTCTTTATAAAGGGGCCAATGCCTGTCCTTTTCTTCTCGCGCTCGATCCTTCCCTTCCCCCACCTTGAGTTCCGACACCCAAGGTTTCAGGCTAAGTGCTTCGAACCTTCAACCATGTCCAGATCCAACCTTCAAGGCCGGTGGATGGCCTCTTCTGTCATAGAGGAGGACATCAAGAAGTTAAGAGAAGCCAGTTATCTGACCGCCGAAATCTCGCACAGGCTGCCTGCTCAAGGGCAGGTCATCCCCACTCCCGAACCCAACAAGAGCGTCGTATTTGTTTCCCACTTCCTCCGAGGGCTAGGTTTTAGTCTTGACTAGTACAAATGCCCGTGCGTTGCAACGGGTGGAAAACTTGTAAAACCTGTTCTGTGTGCCATTACACGACATTTCGTATATGTAGTTCCGATAAACACCGATAATGAGATTACAGTATTGTTGCTTTTTGAAGCATGAAGTGTGGACATATATCTATGCGTTGCAACAGGAGAACACAACACGCAAGATGCGAGAATTAGGTTGTGCAGATGTGGCCAAGATCTCGAGCGCAAACATTAACCAGCGTGTCTTCAAACGCGGTGTCCTCACACCATGGAATTGCCTCATGCATCCAGGCGATGCAATTCTTGATTGGTTCCAACTTCCAAACCTACGTGGAAATTGATTATGTGGTCGTGCCTAGGATGTATCAAAGGAACATATGCTAACATGAGATAAGAACTTGTTTAGTTTAGCTGCCTGCTCTGGTTTTGAGTAGTGCGGCCTTCCCCGAATCTTGTAACAGTTTGAACATCTGACCGGTGTGCACCTTTTCTTTTGTCTTCTTTGGATCTGGTTGATCTCTGTAGTGTTGAACCAGTTGATATAAAAAGGGACTTTTAAAATACCATTTGGAAAACTGAAAAAATTTGATGGCGTTATCACGGGTTTAGATCCTAAGGACCAATCCAAAATATTATTTGGCTGAAACGTACGTTGCCATGAGTAAACATTTTTTCGGACAAAATAGATACAAAAAGCAAAATAAATATGAAAATCCAACACAACATAAGAATAGAATTGCCGCCTGGATGTTTTTTATGTACATGACATGATTTGAAAAATCATTGAATCTTATGTAACTGTACTGAATGAATCTTATGGTCATTGGTAAAGACACAAGGCACATGTAACATGCAGGGGTTACGAATATGTCTATGCCCAACCGGTTAGACGCACAACTCCAATCCCTGTCGTTGCTACTTCATGTGGATGTGCCCTGTATGGTACTTCTCCCTCTCTCTTCCACTGCACACACTGACACATGCATGTCTTACATCAACACATGCATGCCTACTTTATCTTCCCTCTGTCCTCTAACTCCATCACTTTTTATTTTCTTTTGACAATTTATATGGCTCATATCTTTAAAACCAAAATTGCGTTTTTGATCCTTTTTACATATTTGAACTCGTGACACCAAGCCCTTTAGAACAAGACCAGTCTTGGATACATTTGAAACACATTTTTGTTTCAAACAGTGAAGAACTTTCTGAATAGTTGGTTTGCACTTCGTAAGAAATATGAACGAACTTTGCTAGAATTTTTATCTAAATCCAAAGAACTTTGTTAACATGGTCTCCGAACTTTGCCATAAAAATTAGAAGAACTTTGTATACACAGCATGATTTTTGCTTTGTGGTGCGTTAAAAAAAGGAATCTTCAGAATATTAATTTTTATGTCAGATTTTAATTAGTATCCATGTAGTTTACGGGCACAACTAAAAGGAATTGCAGTCTACCATGCCATCCCAAAACCTGATGAATGCAGCGACTTGTGACAAAAAATAGAATACTATACCATACATTGCATGGCTGACACAGTGGTGGCCCACATCGATTGGATATCACATAAGATGAGCGGCAGGGATTCGCGTTGCGCGCGCAAGGCGTTAGGAAAAATCCACGTTCTAGGGGTTATAGCCTGGAAGAAGGCACCTTTTTTCTTTGCTTCTTCTTTGCATGGCTAAAATCCATTTTCTAGAGCAGAAAAGGATGTACAGGTTTTCAACCACAATTAAAAATCGTTTAAACAATGGCTTGTTTTACTGCCAAAAAAACAAAGATATCCTGGGAACTGGATGCTGTGTTTTGTTACTACGGAATTGTAGAACATGTCAATGGTTGGCCGCATAAAGAAAAGAGGAGGACAAAGATGTTTCTGTGATTAATTCATACCATCTCTTGCTACACATCCTGCTCTGGTAGAGAATTGGCATTGACAACAAATCCAACTGAAACTTCTTCCTCAGATTTTTGGTTTGATCCTGTAGTTCATGCTCCTGCAGCTCATTTTGTCAGCCATTAAATAAACAATAGTAACAGAAGGAGCATACTATCTAGGGTGAGAATAAAATGAAGTTCCTAATTCACCATGACCTTATTTTTGAGGTCAAATAGCTCATCAAATAATACCTTATTCTGCAAAAGTATGCGGCTTCGACATAAGCAAGGCAGAACCACTAAAAGCACTGTCATATATAGTTAACCTAACTCTACAAAATTGTCTTAAAAGTTGAGCTAAATCCTGACTACAGTGGATACATCACCATTTGGATGCTCTGAAGTAAAGAGGTTTTCACTAAGAGAATTCAAAACTAATACATGTTCTGAAACTGAAGCAGTATTTGTATAACAGAAAAAGTTCTGAAGCTACTGAACCTTACCTTACGTAACAAGTTTTCTACCTTCCTTGACCTGATATGCTTGACGGATATTTCTGTTTGATTCTCAATTTGATCATGCTCATTCATGCTAAGTGGACCTATAAATACACTGAGTATATTTGTACTACTACGACTGAGGGTTGATAAATTGGAGCAACATTGCAATATATATACAACAAGTAACTGTTCAGCCCCATCTCTCAAAACTACCTTTGTATGCATATTTCCAAGTTTTATAAGAAACTTGAGTATCATCAGGGGATGTTGGATCGTGTTGTAACATTGTTACTGCAGTAAAAAGTAAAGTAAAGCACAAACCTATAAGCTAGGGACTTTGTGAAAACAAAAGTCATTTCTAGCATGAATAAAATAAAAAAATGTAGTAATAAACTTTATTAGAATATGGCTTCATATTCTGAACAGTGCAGGCAAAGGTTTTTGGTTAAATATTCTGAAAATCTGCATCTGTTGTACATAGATGTTGCGTGAGAATATCCAAACATAGTACATATATATATGCAATTAACTATTATAGCACATAATAGAATGAATACAAAGAATTGGAAAACATCAATGGGTGCTTCTACCTAAACCAAAAGGCGGTTCAATCTTCCTTCTGCAAAGGATAACCTTATTACAACAAATTTAAGAAGGAAAGAAATATAGGCAATCACTACCTACATTACACATCACAAAAGCCATATGCTTAATTACACCAGGAGCTCGATTGCACAAAGTTTCACAGCTCAAACTTCTACACTCACCGGTCCATCCATCATCCATGGCGGATCCACCACATGCTTGGCTTCAAGTTTGGATGGTTTGCCACCTTCATCTCACACGACATGTCACACTGCATCCATGAATCAATCCAGTTAATGTTCCAGGACAGGAAAAAATTCAGAGTAAATCCATCGCTGCATGCATGGGTCGATGAGAGATGGTCGATCAATTGTTCAATCAGATGGATTACAAGTGAGAAGCAGTTGACTCAGATGGCGCACGACGCATAGCTCGACCTTTGGATGTCTAATGGTCGCAAAACATAAAGGTGGGATGATTCCGTAACTGTACTGAAGGTTTGTGCGATTAAGATCACTGAAATATATACCTGATTTCAAGTATTTCTTCACGCCTTTGCTGGTGTTCCTCGGTGATGCCCAACAAATATCTCATTAGACTGAAAACAACAAAGTCTGTTTGTTGTTGCTTGCCTGAAATCAGCAAACTCATGTACATATAGTACTGAATTTGACACTGCTTTGTAGTGCTTCCAACTACTGATAGATATATAGAGTTCACCGAGTAGTACATGGTTATGAGTCAGATGATAGTTTAAGAATCGAGGATCAAGTACTCTTATCTCATTGATCACTAATAGTTGTAAGTTTCAGAATGTGCATTGTGCACAAATACTGACAGTACAGAGTTCATCGAGAAGTCAAAGGTTATCTGTAAGATAATATCTTTGCAATCAAGGGCGAAATACTCTGAATAGGCGGTCATACAATATCTGCCAAGAATATAGGACCTACCTTATAACCTATAAAGGGGGCAAACCTTTCAAAATGATTGTAGGAAATATGTATCATGCAACTTTGTTTCAAGCACAATACCAATTAAAAACCCCACGTTGCTGTCACAAAAATACATAGACAGTCTTTACAATTATGACAAGAAAATTCAGTATGGATGTATGTTAACTTGGAGCTGTCGCAAGGTTCAGTCTTGACCTCATGAACAAATTTGATCTCAAATTGACTTGAGTCGCATGATTTATGGACGAAAATAATTCAAAAACAGTGGCAATAGATAAATCATCGCATAGAAATATATCAAAACAGGGATATTTATCGTCCATGCGCTACTGTGAAGAAACCAATCAAATATGAACATGTTATTCGATATGGCATATAAAGAACACAATATGGAGCGTAGCTTTCTTTCTGTTTGAATTTTTGTCTGCTATCCTCAAGTTCAGATGCTATGATCTAGATGCATCTATGGAAGTAGCTTATAATGATGTATTTCTGGATATGCTAAGTTTTACCTGTCAATGTTCAGTACCAGCAGCAATTCGTACCATTCCATTGGGGGTGCAGATACTCCAGTGCCTAGCTAGAGAGCAGTTGCATTGGCCTTCTTCTTCCACGGATTGATTCTTTCCAAATCAGACACGGGTCTCGCGCGCGAGCACAACGCCGTTCACCGCCCGCAGCCCCTGAAGCAAGCTGTTGACGTCCGCATCGTCAAGCTGCAGCCGCCGTCGCTGGCTCCAGGACAGCACCTCCTCCTCGTCGCCCGTCAAACCACCGCCCCGGCCCCGGCGCCATCGGCAACGGCCCGACACCGTGCTGCCGCGCCCGAGCCCCGGCGAGGCAGCCTCCATCCTCCCAAGCGAGCACGCCGGCCGCCGCCGTCGCCCTCGCCAAGCCCCCGCCGGAGCGCCACCGGCCGGCGTCCTCCTGCGCCTCATCAACCTCGCCTCCTCGAGCCCGCGCGCCGCCGCCTCGGCCTCGCCTCACCGACGACAAGCCCCCGCCGGAGCTCCCCGAGCTCGCTCGCCTCCTCGCCGGAAGCCGCCGCCGCTGGGAATGGATTCGCCAACGCCAACCGCGACGCCTCGCCCCCTTCCCGGGGTCGGGCAACGCGTACGCCCGCCTCCTTGGCTCCTGGCAAACGGCTGCGCGTGGCGGCGCGTGCCCGGCGGTGGTGGATGGGAATGGATAAGCGGTCGTGGTGCGCGGTGGTGATTGCCGAGAGTTTTATGTAAAAATGAAACGTTTTCTTAAACTTAAAATAGGACCGCAGGTTGAATTCTCATAACCAAAGGGACTTTTTTGCAAATTTGCTAATGACATACGACCAGAAGCAATAGCTGCTTTATTAGTAGGTAGAGATCCCTTTGTTAGAGGGCTTATGTTCTATTACGGGCTCGATTTCCACGATCTAGCCCCAGATTATATCCTTCACATCTCGTCGTTTATCGTCGTATGTGAGGCCTTCCTCCGCATCACCCCACACTTCGGCTTATGGCTCAAGACCTTCAATGTGAAGCCGAAGACGATCGATGGGCGACACGCATAATGCGGAGGTGCCACAATAAGCAAAGGTGTCGATGCCCCATGGCCAAAGGGTTCCTTCCCGGAGGTGTCCAACTTATGGCAGCGGGAGTGGTTTTACATCACAGCTCCACAAAGTACTAAGTGGGTATCTCCCCTCGCCTTCCGTTCGGGCCCCCCACCGCAACTGGCATCATGGGTCAACAAGGGGCTGGACTGGGGGCCAGTTAATGACATGCCGACATTGCAGAGTCGCATCCGGGATCTCCTCAAGAGAGATGTCAGCCTTGTCAAGGTAATGCAAGTCATGCTAGTTCGTCGGGTCCTGCCATGCCAACGTCGATCTCTTCGTATGTGGGAGTTCAACCCGGAAGGACCGCGAGCTATTCAACAGTTCTTCGGCATGACACTTGAAGAGATGTATGGATTGTTCTTCGGATCACGAATAAAGTGTCCGGACACCACCGAGGATGCGGGTCTCAACTGCAACCGTCCAGATACCTAGGTGAGTAATTCAGCGGCTGAACATGCTGTCTTTTTATTTGTCACAATATCATTCTGAAAAAATCGATCTTGGCCAGGACTGGATAAGAAAGGCGAAGATGATCAGGTGTTCGGCCCCCTTCCCAAAGGCTCACCGGATCCTGTACTAGCCAGGATGCTCGAGAACGCACTGTATCAAGTGCCATCAGGGGAAGATAAAGAGAGGGATAAAGAAGCCGAAAGCGGGCCTCACACATTACTCGTCCAAACCGGGGGGATTAGTGTCTCCATGAAGGAGGATGATCGGAGAGAAGAATCTAGAATCCCCTCTCCCCAAGGAAGGAAAAGGACTGCCTCTGACGACTCAGAAACGAAAGGTTCCAAACGAGGGAAGAAACCTTCACTAGGAGGCACTACCCCAGAGGGGGTCCTTACCACACAGTGTCTGCAAGGGGGCCAGCCCTCCACCGAGTTATAAGTGAATCAAGAGTACTTTTGGTAAATATATCCTGCTTTATCTTCGAGGACAATAACCGAGACATATATCTTGCCGTCCGGCTCGTAGCCCTTCTCAGCAGAGTTCGTCTTCGGGGGATCTTCTTTCGGAGATGATGGAGAGCGAAACGCCTCCCCCTGCCTCCCCGCCTCCTGGGGCGGACGACCCTGAGGTGTCATCACGGAGGGTTTCTCCTGATCCGCCAAGGCCAGAAGGTAACCCTTCGGCCACCCGCAGTCCAGAATATTCGTCTCCTATGGAGAGCAACAAAAAGAGCCCGGGACTGTCCGGTGGGAAACGGAACGCACTGATGAGTCTTTTGGAGAAAGCGGCTATTTCAGAGGAGCATCATACGTTAATGAGTATGGTGGTTGAGAGGATCTCATCCGCCACAAGTGGGTTGCATGAAGCTTTTACGAGCCTACTAAGAGGCTTTGAGGTACGCAAAGTAATATATAATTTTTTTGATGGTACCACACACGCTAGGTGTGGTCTATATAGATAGTAGCCCCTGAGACTCTGGTTGCTGTCCAGAGGCAGCAAACAGAGGATCATAGTCCCAGGTAATAATCACGCTGCTTTCATGTGCAGGCGGCTGACGGTCTGATGGCTGGCCGGACTGCTGAGTTTGCCGGTTTGAGCCGACAACTTGATGCAGCAGATGCCGACATTGCGCTTGTGAACAAGCAGCTTGACGAGGCACAATGTATGTATTTTTGGGTGGTCAACAAATATTAAGAGGAGCATGATGCTAGTATCTATAATATGTTGTGACTGCAGATGGAGCTGCCGCCGTGGAGTCCCCTTCGGGCGGAACTTGCCCGAGCCAAGGAACAAGCCAAGAGGAGTGATGTGGCCGCCCTAAAGGCGGCATAAGACTTAAGAGCCGAACAGGCTACTCATCGCAAGAACGAAGATAAAATAGCCAAGATGGCTGATGAGCTGAAAGATGCCGCCGGCTGATATGAGCTTCTTGAAAAGGAAAGCCAAGTGAGAGCGGCTGACATGAAGAGAGTCGTGGAAGCAGCCAAGGAAACCCGTTCTGAAATCAGAGCGGCGAAGGAGGAGCTCCGTCGAGCCGGAGATATCATGGCTGGGAAGCCCTTTTTGTTGCGGACGAAGTTTGGAGATCCGAAGTATGCACCTTTGGGTCAATTATGGAGTGCTGCAGACGCGTATTTGGATTCAGCAATCAGTGCTGCTGATGCAACTGTGTTTTTCAAAAATCAAAAAGATCATGAA